TCTAAAGTGCGCAACGAGATGCTCGATGCCAGTAAGCAACATAAAGTATTTCCACGTATTTCTACGTGAGTGATTTGTGGAATGAAAAGAATTTTTGGGTTTTTTTAAAGTTTTTTTGGACTTTAAAAATTTTACCGACTTAAAAATGTTTATTCAACTTTAAAACATTTTTGAATAAAACTGTTTTTTTATTTTAAAATAAAACATTTCAGGACAATGGAGGTGAGTTCTAACCGATTTGATCGCACTCTTTAGCGAAGGACAACGCACAACGAGGAGAGCGATGGAGAAAACTATAGATGTCCATCCGTAGCCTCGACTTTGACAAGACGCACAAAACTAGCAAAAATAGACCAAAGCCTTTAGATAACATCCAGAAGAGCAACAAGCACGAGTATATCTCTACTAAAGAGCTGTTAAAAGAAATCAAGACACTCAACCAAGAAATCAAAAGTCTAAAAACTGAAACCATAGAAAAGTAATATTTCAACAACCAGACGGAAGAAAAAAACTTCACCAAGAAGACGAAAACAACAGGAAAAGAAGAGACAGTACAGCTCCCACAAACAGTTAAAAACCGTAGAATAAGAAGACAAACTGCAATCAAGGAAAAAATTTCAAGACCGCAAATAAAAAGGTAACCCAAAAGAAGAAAAAAAGCATTTCCACCACTGGAAAAGGATGACAATAAATGAGGCAGCGAATATATCATGGAGATAGTACCCAATGAAGTAACTCCAGTAGTGAAGAAGACATTCAACCCACTTCTAATAAAATTACAGAGTGTACCAAAAAAATTCTGAAGATAGCCACGGAAAAGAGGGTAATTACAGAAAACATGATCTCAAAAAATAGTAAAGAAACAATAATCCAAACGAAAAATTTAGAGGATGAAGGAAAAATTACCAAAATTTTAGACTACAGCACAAAGAAACCAATAGAATGGACTGTCTTCCATCTAGAGGAAGACAGAACTTTCAAAGTTCTTATAAGAAGCTTACCTGACAATCTTACACGGGTACTGATAACAAAAGAATTCCTGGGACAAGATGAAGAGACCATAGAAATCATGAATATGATATCCAGAAAACAGGACAAAGAACTGTGCCAATATTCATCAGAGGTGAATAGAAAACACGAAGTTACTCAAGGTACAGTACCACATAAAAGCCTCAATAGTGGACTTAAGAATAACTGGAGGCCCAGCCCAGTGTTAAAACTGCTAGGGTTTATCAAAGCCAACTTACGCACGGGCGTCCAGTAAACCTGCCGCTGCCACCATTGCTCTTGAAGGTAATAAAACAATAATATACATTTTCTCTACAGATTTCACAGTCATTAAAGATCCCAGGCATCCTAGAAGCCAGACATTCAGAATTACTTGCCTTGACGCAGGCTTCCATGCAAGCCTTCATTCAAGAAGCCTTCACAATATTTCTACAAAAATGAGCAACAAAGAAGTTAGGGGACATCTGAAGAAAGCCTCATGGAACTCAGGCGAACTCAGAATAAACAAGAACGCCCTAGATGATATAATAAACAGGATGGAAATGGACATATTTGCAATTTAAGAAACAAATCTCAACAAGGGCATGAACATAAAGTTCTCTTTGTATTCACTACAGAGCAAACTACATGATTAACAGCAACCCTGGTGACGAAATATACACACACAACTGCCGAAACCAGCGGGACTGAAGACCGTGGAAGAAACTTCGATCTCGGTACAAATGAGACCAACATTCGATGGAGACCTGGGTGTACTCTTTGATACAGAAGAAAGAACAATCATAATTTAAAACTTTAACATCAGATCTCCTAACTGGAATGACAGAGCTAGTAACAGAAACGAAAGAAGACTGGTCAGCTATCTTGAAAACAAAGACAGAACAACAGTGTCGGGTCAATAGAATCAACGCACTTTCCTGAAGGCAAAAATCTACCCACTATCCTAAACATAGCTATAATGAAGAATCTATGACTGACAGACAGAACTGCAGTCGCTGGAGCAGAGGACCATAATCCCATCTTACTGGAGATTGGCACATAGGAAGAAGTCCACCCCACAACTTACAAAAATAAAAAGACAATCACAAGAGGCCAACCTTTCAAAGATTATTCATCGAAGGAATCGGAAACCTTGAAACCATAAACAGCTCAGAAGAACTAGAGGCTTCGAAAATATCGTAAGCGAATGCTAGCCAAATTTTTGTCATTGTATATAAATACTAAAAGTTAATGACAATATAAAAATAGCAACAAAAAATATCAAAACCATTTCGTCTTTGCATTCAAAAACTTAAATTTAAAACTAAAAACTAAATATTCTATAGATAAATTAGATAAATCCAATTTAGTATATAGCATTAATTCTGTACTATCCGTGAATAAGTGGATAAGTCAAATTGTCGTAAAAATAAGATATCTCAATTTTGAAATAATTTTTTTTTTCAATTTCGTCAGGTGAATAAATGAGTAATTCAAATTTGCAAGAGCTTACTTGGTAGGAGCCCGTAAATATTTGGACTTGTCTAATATTGAAGAGTTTTAAATATTCTTCCAAAGCTATTTTCTTGTGGCATTTTAAATTAATTGCTATTTAACTGGGAATAAGCCACAATTATAGTTTAAAATACGTTTATTGGCGTTTCAATTTCTTGTGGCATTTTAAATTAATTGCTATTTAACTGGGAATAAGCCACAATTATAGTTTAAAAAACGTTTATTGGCGTTTCAATTTCCACTTCGGAAATCGTTCTCAAAATACAAACAGTAAATTCTATAATTTAATGTTTGTATTTTAAGGATCTGAAGGTTCTACCGATGTAACATGCACTGCAGGTATGGCAGCTCAATTTATACACTCCGCTATACTCAAGTGAGTTACGTTTGTCCTTGTTCTGGAATTCATAAATTAATTACCATCAATAATTATCCACTTATTACTTTAGTTACATATTAATATATCAGAACTTGAATTACATATTTAAAAATATTTATACACACCATGACAGATAACTCACACCAGCAATATTTTCAAATAAATTTTGTAAATTTGTTATACGTTTTGATTACAAATGTACATGTTTAGTTGCCAAATAATCACTGTAATTTGTTCTGTAATTTGGACTAAACTGAGTTAGTTATAATAGAGAATTTATTTCAATTATTCGTATTGTTACATTTAAATTTAATTAATTAAAGATTACTTTTAGATTTACTTTTGATATCTTAATTAAAACAATTTAGAGACGTTCATTAATATCAGCATATTTCATAAAACTGGACAACTTAACTTACAGTATTGAGAAATAGAAGAAGAACTGTCACATTTTAACCTACATATGTCAAATTTACCTCTAAAATCTAATAGATAACAAAAAAAAACTCATTGTCTCCAAGACTGAGATGTAGTGCATAAAAGTCCTTCCCTCTTTTTAAATTTAATGTTTGTTTCGTCCCTTCTAAGTGTTTTCTGACTTTGCAATAATTTACCATTTTGCCCATAGAACTTTATCAAAGAAATTTGATAATTACAAGTTGAAAGAATTGCACACCCACACAATTTGTACATCTAATCTTATTCATTGCCATAAAACTGTCACCTTCATAAAATAAATACTCAATAAATAACACACATTTCATAAATATATCTCTTGAATAAGTATAAATAACTTTTAAATAATAGAATGGTATAGAACATCACTTTTATCTAACAAACAATCACATTACACCTATCTTACCTCATTGGATCAAATCTATGTCCTCAGGAACTTCCCGTTTATTGTCAAACAACTACAATAGCAGACTTAAGTTCCCCATTCAACAATACATGATATTTTCTATGTTCTACCATCTATCAATTAATAGAGTACCGGAATGTAAGTAATGTTTTATTTATTTGCTCATTTATTAATTCATTACAATCTAATAGACTGTTTTATAACAATTTATGGGTCTTACCTTGTCTGTTAAAACTTTTTATACCTTTTTATTCCTTTTTATTCATTTTGAAAAACCACAGACATGTAATATTGGCATAATTACTGTTAATTTATAACATCTACTTTGTTTATCTTTATTAGACACTCATACAACACCCTAATATGGGTTTATTATTATTTCAGCATTTATTTAACTTTGTATCGAGTCCTGAAGATGCTTTGCATATTGTAGAAAGCGAAACCGCTCGTCTGAATAGTTAAATTAAATTGATTGTGAGTAAGTCTTATTTATTATTTCTTTACCTATTTGAAATGGACTCACACAAGCAACACATTCATGATTTTTATAAAAAAAATGTTTAATTTTTGTCCTGGAATTCTCTACAGTAAGTATTATAAGTCGATACAGTAAGTACTCAATAAAATCACAGAAATTTGGCATGAATAAGATTTTTTAAGCCTGAGTGATACACTCACAGCTCATAATAAATTATGTAGGTCATTCGTTGCATGAATACCCACCAATTTCTACTAAAACGAAAGTGAACTTAATTTTTTTATTCTTTAAAACTATTAAAATATTTTAAATGGCTATATTGAAAAGTTTATATTTTTGATTTATCGACTTATTCAAAGATGGTACAGAATTATACTCAGTGTTTAAGGCTGCGGTGTAAAGCTGTGTATGTTTGTGAAACCGGGAGAAATCTATCATATTATCGTATTATTTTATCACAAAAGATCATATCATGGATTTGGATAACAATAAAACTTTATTACAAGTATTAATTTCTTTCTTTTATTTAATTAATTTTTTTTTTTTAATAAAAATGTTTAAATCATATGTTTATATTTTTCGCTTCATAGAGCCAACCTGTATATTTAATTCCATAGAGTTATTGTAACATCCAACTGGTATATATAAAACAGTTGTTTTGTATTGCAAACTGCTGATATAAAAGTAGTCACAAAAACGTGCTTGTTTTTGCGACATTCTACTTAAAAAGGGTCCTAATAAAATACGAATTTCAACAATACCTGAATATTTTTATACGTCTGACCTAAGAAAGATATTACGTCTTTACCTTGGACACTATATTTCGAGAATATTAATTGTTTTAATTCTTGACAGGAAATATTTTATAGGAAAAATTATTTAATTATTAGTCTAATCTACTGAATAGATTATGGAATACCGAACTACCCAAGAAAATTTGATGGCAGGTGGTTTCGTGAAATACTTTTACTCGGTAAGTTTCATAAATATTTTTAACATAATTTTTAGAAAAAAAAATGTAGACGAATTTTTAAAATCATTATATATATTTTTATCTTCTGAGATGAAAATGTACTATGCATGTATTTTGGAGTTATATACTATTTTTAGTCAGTATTTGAAGGAAATAGTAAAAACTAGTAGGAAAATAATAATTTCAAAATTCTGTGTAGTCTAAAACACGTATTTGAAAAATAGGTTGAATTTTGGTGTTTTGGTTATTGTTTAGTTATTTATGTGAACGTTTAAATTTGAACAATATTTATATATACTTCTTTTTCTTCTTCGAGTGCCATATCCCTACGGAACGTAGGCGACTACCATGCTTATAATATTATTATACTGATCTCGGTCTTGATCTCACACTATATACGTGTAGCAATTGGTCCGCTGTCAAACCTGTCCACTGCCGCAAAAACAGGTTGAAACCTGTCCCTCAACCAAGAGAGTTTCTTCCGTCCTATCCATTTCTTTCCTTCGATTTTACCGTTGAGAATTAGCCGAAGGAACCCATATATTGGTCCTCTGATTATATGTCCAAGATATTCTAGTTTACGCCTCTTAATAATATTTAATAGAGTTCGTTGATGTCCCATTCTTCGAAGAACATCTTCGTTTCTGGTTCTGCTAGTCCATGGAATTTTTAGTATCCTTCGATACAACCACATCTCAAACGCCTTGATTTTATTCATGATATCGGCGTTTAAAGTCCAAGTTTCACATCCATACAAAAGTACAGACCACACGTAACATCTTGTAAACTTTTTTATATACAGTCTAGCGTAAAAATATGCAAAAATGTGGGAAATTATACTCTTTACCTTTTTGATATTTGTCGACATGACACTCTGGTGAAAAGATATCGAATTTTTACCGTCGAATTGATACATTTTATTTGAAATTGCTTTCGCGCGTGTAGCCGCGTCGTTTCAAGCGATATTTTTGAGATAACCATTCATTTTACACAAAAAGTGCTAAAAAACCTTTTGGTTCAAAATTATCTCAGCTATATTCGTTATTTGAAATATTTTTTCACCAACGCACAAATTCTTGGTAAATCGATTTTTTCCGACCTCTAAATAATTGAATCGCTTATTTCAGAAACAACTTAAGTCACATTCGGGCAGTTTGCAGGGGATGAAAAAACTTTTTGGTAGTTTATTTCAACATTTTTACTAAAAGTGAAGTTTAAGGTTAATAGATTATACCTAATGTAAGAATTTATCGCAAACAAAAGTATTCTAAATGGTTACTTAACTCTTTAAATAAACATTTTTAAAATTTATTAATTAAGGTTGTTCCAGTAATGAAATGTCAGGTTTTAAAACTAGAGTATTTATTACTAATCAATTTTAATATCATACAGTTTATTTTGTGACTTCCTTGAATTTTTTCTTACTTGCTGATGTTGGAATAATATTTTCATAAAATGGTTTGAACGGTTTCCCCACCTATTGAAGCAGTGTGGTTAAATTTTCTTTTTTGACCTCTAGTGTTGGAATTGGGTCTTTATACGCCTTTTGAGTTTGCTTTTTAACTGTGACGTTGCTTGTTTTTGGAATGGAATCATTGAAGGTCAGATAGCCAAGCGGGCTGAGCGGGTTTTGAAATCTGCCTGTATCTATCTGGTTAAAGCCAAACACATTCTTGTAACATACATGTTTTTGTTTGAGGGCAGTTGTCAGAAAACAGGCGTAGTTCTTTTACATCTAGTTTAATATATTTTTCAATATAATCTAATAGTAAGCTACTTCATTTGGGCTTTTTCGCGCTTCTGCCTCGTGGTAAATATAAAGAACGGATTTTTGTGACTAAATATTGGTGATGCAAAAAACATTAACGGTAACCTGCGACAGATAAAATAGGTCTTGTACAGGAATTGCAGGAAGTTGAAGGTTATGCAAAAAATCGAAGGTGATTGCTTCTACATCATCTCTTTGAATGCATTCCTCAACTTGATCATGTAGGGTAGTGTAAAATTTTTTACTTCGGCGGCGGTGTACGACTTTTTCGGCAACCGCTACTTTTTTGCTGCTTCACCAAGACTAGGGCTTTTAATTTTTAAATTAAGCTCCTCACAGACATTGCATGTGTTAATTTGTGGCCTACCAAAATGTAGGTTAAACTTTTCATAAAAAAATTTATTGTATTAACTGTATTTTACTGTACTCTCAGGATACTTTTTAATACACAATTCGTGCATTATTTTTATATTAAGTTCGCATCTAAGAACTTAAATTCCTTATTAGAGTAATGAGACTGGATATGTAGTTATGTGGCTACGGATTGAGCCTAGTTCCAGCATCAATAGTTCCCTTTTATATTTTTCATTTTTTATCTATAGGTATCACACTACACACCACAAGTCTTTTAATTCTCCTTAGATTTTCTCTTCCTATGGCGTGAATATTAACACAATATTAACACATTAACAAAGAGCTTGTAACTTCTTGTCCTGTCTTTACCTCCTTCATTACATTTTCTTCTTCTAGACACCTTCATTACCTCTGTTAATTCTTGTAGAAATATATTCTGTTTGATTTTTTGTTGGCATACCGTAAAAGTTACCAAAAATAATGTTCCTTTGATCTTCGTTCACTTTTTCAAAACATTTGAGTAGCCACCTAAAAAATGTATTTTACAACTTCAAAAATATTTTTATTGTTTTACTTGCATTGAGGCCCTATTTGCTTTCCTTCCATGGTCTTATTTTTGTAGCAACATTCCGCTGATATTCATCCGATTTCCTAATTCCCTTACGCCTCTTAGTAGCAGGATCTCCATCCTTAGCGTTTTCAGCAATAATGGTTTTTTGGTCATCTTCTTCTTCTTCTTAGTCGTTAACCTGATGCAGGTATCGTGATATCATGAAGCTATTAGCTAAATTTCCCAATGTTCCTCCACGTTTTTCTATCTTCTGCCATTCGAGCACATTCTGACAATGGAGCGCCAATGGTAGCAACAATATGGTCCGTGTATCGTGTGGGAGATCTACCTCTATTTCTTTTGCCTTCTACTTTTCCCTGGATGGTAAGTTTTTCAAGACCATTTCTTCGAAGCACATGTATAAAATAGCTTATTATTTGTTCTGATATTTGTGTTCTTATGTTTAGCTAGTCCAGTATGGATTCATTTGTTCTTCGGGCCACCCATGGTATTCTCAGCATTCGTCTCCAGCAGTACATCTCAAATACATCTATGTTCTTTTTGTCTTTCTCAGTAAGGGTCCAGCATTCCGATGCATAAGTAAAAACTGGAAAAACTAGAGTTCTTACTAGTCTCATTTTTGTATCGGTAGTTATTTCATGGCTTTTCCAAATTTTTGTTAATTTTGCCATAGCGCTTTTTGCGATTGCTTACCGCCGCTTTATTTCTTCAGTACAGCCTGCTTTGTTGGTTATTAATGAGTCCAGATATACAAATTTATCTACAATAGCGATATTGTTTATCATGACCAGATGATTTTGATTGTTGTTAGCTCTGTCAATTGTCATGATTCTCGTTTTATCTCTGTTTATTTTAAGACCTATCGTTAAGCTTACGTTTTCTATCCGTTCTAGCAGGTGAATCAATTCAGCTTCATTGTTCATAATAATATTAAAATATAAACATTTTCTTCCAATATATAGAGATAACGTTTTGTGAGAAGCAATAAGAACAAACAATAGAAACACTATGAATTTTATAAGTTATGGTAAATGTCGGTATGCAAAATGACAACTGACAATATTTTATATCGATATAAAATCAACTATGTTTATGGGACTTGAGTGTATTCTGCATCAAATTGTGTGTAACCCACAGAAATACACATTTTGGTATTATAATCTTAAAATCGTCAAAATATGAATTAGGTTGTTTCTGAAATAAGCAATTCAATTCTGAAAAATGAATAGCAAAGGCGTAGAACAGAAATAGATGGAAATATCTGGGGAGGCCAATGTTCAAAATTGTATAAATCATGGCTGATTAATGATTCGATGCATTAGTCAAAAAGTCTAAATACAAGTCAACTGTAAGGTGCAAAATTTAAGCAACCAAAACCAATGTTCAAAATTCTATACCTCTAAAGACAATCTACAATACTTTATTTCTCTAATGAACTTGAATGTTTTTTGTTTTCAAATACAAATTTCTTATATTTCCTTTGTTCGGTTAACATAATATCAGCGTTCGGGGTAATGAAGATTTTAGATTTATCTGTCAATACAGAATGGCATTCTCATCATCGTTACCTTTATTAGGCTTTTATACTATATTTTAGACAATTGGTATCTTCTTTGTATTGATCTTGCCGGTTTGGTCTCATGCTGCTGAAGTATATTTAATTGCTGGTAAGATTATACTGCTTGAATTTAGTTTACTTTGTTTTAATTACTTTACTGTTACTCAATGCAATATTACTTCTAGATATTTTGCTTTGATGGACAAGTCTACTTCTTTGTTGAATATCCTCACTTGATATAAACTGGTATGTCAAATCTTTTGCATCTGGTTCGCTTAATCAAAGAGCTTATGATATATCCAATTTTATGGCAATTTTTGTCTATATGCACCAACTTTAGAGATGATTTGGTGCGTTTAATGTAATGAATATGAACCAATCAACTACAGACAATAATAGGTTACCACAGATTACAACCGGTAACAATAGAGTTCTTAATGTATGCAGACGACATAGTACTAATAGCAGATTCCGAGAATAAAATGCAGAAACTAATGGATATATGGGTAGAATAAATAGAAGAACTAAAAATGGAGATAAACGAGGAAAAAAGTAAGATAATGATAATCAGTGGCAAAGGAGATCAGGAAGATAATCAAATAAAGATAAAATGTAAAAGCTCAGAATTGGAAATAGTAACAACTTACGAATACCTGGGAAGTATAATAACTAATGACGGAAGAATAGACTGGGAAATAACAAATAGAGCAAAGAAATCAAACAAGTTATACTATGCGTTAGTGAAAACT